TAGAACAGTGTCCCCCCCTCCTTGTGCAGTAGAACAATGTCCTCCCTCCTTGTGCAGTAGATCAGTACTCTACCTCTTCTCCAGATCTCATACCCTCAATATCTCAGACTCTCATGAGACACTTACAAAGAAAACTAAGATTCCTGTGCATTACATGGAAGATGTCTTTTTTTTTTTTCCAATTAAGTCCTCAAAGTCTGATAATAAGGGTTACAGATTTGTTTTCTGTTTACAACAGAAAACAAAGATCTCTAATGGTGCAGAAGGCCTACCATTGGCCTTCTACTAAAGTCCCTGGACATAATGAAAACTTCCCATGGATTTGCCCATATGTAGACCTTTTGAAACCACGTGCAGTACCCTGAAATTCCCTGCCCAGGTGCCCACTTACGGTCCCACACAGGCCTTCCTTGTCACCACCCAGCATGCCTGTTCCTTAGTCCAAGACACAGGTAAGGAGTGGCTTTAGTCTTTCAATATCATCTCTTATCTTTTTTTGTTTATTTATACAACTAAAAAATTCCTCTGTTTTCTATCAGTGACTCTCAAGAGACTTTAGCCTTCACCCTTGATGTTGAGAAACTGAGTCTTCAAGCCATAGTTAATTTTCTGTAGTTGCATCATCTGATAAAGGCTACAATATGTTCATTATGGTACACTTTGTTAGCGCAAAGGAAAACCACAGCTTTCCAAACAATTGACAAGTGGTGGTTCCTCCGCCGCTCCCCTGTAACAGCAGGAAGAACGAAGACACATGTCCCATAGTATTTCCTCAGAAGGATCTGGGGAAGAAAAGAGAAAGGGATTAACTGACTGAACTCAGCACTCAGCTGTAAATCGTGGGTTGCAATATGGCGAAGGGATGTTGCATCAGAGCATGGCGGTTGTAGTGCAGCTCTGACTCTCACGCCCAGCATCCTACACTGTGCTGTGCTTTGCTGAAGAGGCAGTGCTGAGTTTACGTTCCCTCAGCCGTGCCAAGGCACCACATGCTACTTTAGTTTCCCCTTCCCTCAGTATAATTGTCTTCTCACTGTAGGGCAGGGACATTTCTTTGTAGCTGAAGGAATGCCTGAAGCAGATAATCACCTTACTGAACAGAGCATCTCTTGTTCCAGTTACAAGCAAGCAAGCAAGGAATTGGTAAAATGTCTTCACTTCTTCCTGGAAGTCTTGTCAGGAAAGCTAGGAGGCAGCGTGGCAAGGTTATAATGGCTTTTCTCTCAGAACCGTTAGTTTTGAAAGTGTTTGTAACATTTCCTGTCTGTTTCGCATTGCCTTTATCTCAAGATTTGAAAGATACTGACTAGGAGCTTGTCACTGAGAACAGGGATGGAGGTTGACAGGAATGAAGAATGTAGGGACATGAAGGGAGTCTTAGCATATCCTTTCATCCTCAACATAGGTGGTAGCTAGTTAACCATTTTTTGCTGCTTAATTCTGCTTTTTATAGGGGAAATAGACAAAGTATACAAGACAAATGAAAGTCAAAATTAACTTTATATTTTCAACATAAGTTTCCGAGGGCAAGATGACGTCTAATTCTATAATAAGAGTGTTGGTGCCATTGGTCGTGGTGAGCATGGGGGCTGTGATGGACTTGAAGCTGAGCAGCAGCAGCTGACCTCTGGGAAAGGTGCTTACAGAAAGTGTAGGTGAAGGTTAGACAAGCTAACAGTTTCCCAACACAAGTACAGGTGGCTTTTTACTTTCTTAGGCTCCTTATATGAGACATATAGAGAGATGGAAATCTCTAGGAAGAGAACACAGATGTGGTTGCCAAATAAAAAAGAAAGGGAAACAAATTAATCCTCTTGAGAGAAGTCAGACATTCTTTCCAAAGGAGCAGAGAGAGGAAGTAGAGGTGGCACACAAGGTGGGCATATGTGCCCCAGATTTGATTTGAGTGTTAGTATGTGGTGGCCTATGGGATTGGAGAATGTTGCATGTATTCATGCTGCCCTCAAACTTGTTACGTAGTTAAGAATAACATTAAATTCATGATCCTCCTGCCTCCAACTCCCAGTGCTGAAACTACAGGGGTACCTCACTAAGCCTGGTTTCTGCAGTATGGAGGTAGAGTGTATAGATTTGTGTATACTATCAAAATATCCAACCAACTGATCTACTTCACCAGTTCCAAGACTCAGAAATTTAGTGATTTCTGATTCGTTTTTGTCATTTACAGATTTAAGGTGACATGCTTTCAAGAGGGTGTGTGTCATAGTGAAGAGTACAGTCTTTAAGTTCATACCTCCTAGGAATGCAGCTACTATTTGCAGATGAATTGATAGGCTGTCTGTGATTTACCTCAGAATAATCCAGGGATAAGAATGGTATAACTTATAATGTAGCCAGACTGTCTGTGGTGTATGGAAATCAGGTGACGTATGCATGGAGCGCATATCATCTTTATAGCACAATAAAGTTTTAGTTGAAACTAAAACTGTTAGCTTTGAAATCTCATCAGGTTTTTCTCAAGTTTATTTCCTAATCTATAAATGAGAATAATAAAATCTAGTAACAGTCCTATTAGTGTCAATTAGAATGAGTTACGTCCCATTACATAATATATTTCTGTAAGTAAAAAGATCAAAGCATTGTCTTCCTTGAATCTAAATTACTTGCTTTTTCATGGGACAGTCGTGTGCCTCAGTGTGAGTCATCTAATGACCTGGACTTTGTTCTCACAGCTCAGATGCCTAAAAGGCCAGCGAGACTTCTCCAGCCAACCGACCTTTGATGGAATCCACATTGTCAGCCATCTGATAACAGACGATGAACTGTTCCACTCATCGGATGAAGATTTTATAGATAGTTCCTTACAGGAAAGTGCCATCGGTTTTCCTTTGCACAGAAAATCTGGCCTAGTGTCTCTGAACCCCGCTTTGGCAGATGGCAGTGAGAGCGAAGCAGAGGACGGTGTGCTGGGGACTCAGGAGAGTGACCCTGAGGCTCCACAGAGGTCCACACAGAGAGAGTCCTACTCCACTACCGTGTGACCGGCCTTCACTGTGACAGTGGAGTCCTGAGGGCAGCAGTGTTCCACTGAGAGGAGCCGGGGCCATCCCTTGTCCTCTGTGTGTGTGTGTGTGTGTGTGTGTGTGTGTGTGTGTATATATATATATATGTCTGTTTACAGTCTTACCTGACTGTCTTTGCCAAATGCTCACTGAATTTCCATTGCTACAGTAGACTGAAGTGTGCTAATTGGTAAATGGGGTTCTAACAGTATTACCGAATATAAATTTTTCCTATTTAAAAAATACTGCTATATCTAAATGTGAGAACCATTTAAAAATTGAGGACTATGGGAAATTGGATTTTTTAAAAACAAAACTGCTCTTGTGCAATATTTTATGCTCATTGAACAAACTGTACATTTGTGTTTATTAATTTGTTTCCAAGTCAGCTGTCTATAGACATCTGACCAGAACATAGATGTGATTTAACCTGTGTTTGAGGATATCTATCCCTTTCTTCACTAAAATCCATTTCTGTTAGTAGCCACTGGAGACTGTCACACAAACACCTTTTCTTGTATAATTTCTAAACACAAAGTAATTGTTCTGAAAGTTTTTTGTTTTAGCTTCTAAGTATTATGTGTAGTATACTTTGTGTGTTAGTCAGAATGGTAGCAGGTTAACTAGTACTTGTACATATTATAAATCCGTATCACCCAGCATCCCCTTACATGAGTAGCAAACATTGACAGGGACTGCCTTCAGCATTCTAACAGGACTTCTGTAAATAACAAATTAGAAGAAAACAAAATACAAACCAGACACTACTGGCTTAGCAGCTGTAGTAACTCGCTAGCAGATTCATAACTGATTGCTATTCAAACACTAATGGTGAAGTCCTTTACTCCATCTTTAACTAATAAACATGATTGCAGAGGTCATAGCAATGCTATTTTATGCTAATCTATTTAATATAATTTAGCACTAGATTAAGGTCCAAGATGCACAGCAAATATATCGGAAAAGAATATTGTATGTATTTAAATTCTTTAGTCTCTAACCAACAGTTAAAGCCATAAGAACCCTTTACTTTTAGTCATTTCCTCTGTTCAGAGTTTTTCTCTAGAAAGCTGAATGCCTGTTAGTTGTGAATTGAGAAAGGACACTCAACCTGTGGAGAGGCTGCAGGCCAGTGTTGACTGGTTCCTCCACTCTCTTTTTTTTGTTTGCAGCCTAGAAAAAGAAAAGAGCCATAGTGGAAAATAGATTTAGTACACTTATGGAAGGACATTCTTGCACAGAATGTTGTGTACATAAAGAAAAATGTTTTACAAAATGGAATAGAAGAAGCAAAAGTAGTTTTCCTTCTAAGACTGTGTGATGCCTTATGCTGCATGGTGGGCCGGGCTTTCCCAGCAAGACTGTGCTCGCTACGCTCTTGCTGACAGACAGGATTGGACACATGCCTTCTGTTTCCAGAGTACCCACTAAATTCTCATATTTAGTTTACCTGTGATCACAAGCTAGTTATTTGAGGTATTAATTCAAATCTCTCTTTTGAGGCTTTTCTTTTTTTTTTTTTTTTTTGGTTTTTTTTTTTTTTTTTGTTTTTTTTTTTTTATATTTTATTTACATCTCAGATGTTTTCCCCTTACCCCATTTCCCCCCACCTCCTGCCCAGGAACCCCCTATCCCATCCCCCCTCCTCCTGCTTCTATGAGGATGTGGCCCCACCTACCCCCCCACTCCCACTTCCCCACCCTCGAATTCCCACCACACACGGTGTCCAGCCTTCATGGGACCAAGGATCTCCTCTCCCACCTATGCCCGACAGGACCGTCCTCCCTTGCATATATCGAGGCTTTTCAAAAGGCCTAGCTATTGAGTTTTTCAGTTCCCTGCTTTCTGGCAATAAAATAAGTTTTATTTAAATCTGTTTCCTGAGAATCTTCCGTAGAGATGGACATTCCTGGACATCGTAGTCAAGTCTCTCTGTGAGAGTGGATCCTGCTCTGAGAGTTGACAGCACCGCCAGGGTCTAGTCCTTATGGGTTCTCCTGTGTGGCTCTGTACTGTTACTCCAGGAGGTTGTCAATAGCCCAGTGGAGTGATTGACTTATAGCCCTGTTATTTATCTAGATCCCACATCAGGAAACCTGAATGGGGCTAGCAGTACAGCTCGCAAGTTAGAATGCTTACCTAAAATGCCCACTCCCCTGTGTCCAATCCCAGCACCACCAAAAACCAAACAAGCTCAGAGAACTTCCTAATACTCTTTCTGGTTTGAAGTAGGTGTAAAATAACCTTGGTAATTAAACTTTAATTCATTGATCCTTTTGTGATTTGTACAGTGGAAAGCTAGAAGCAACATCTATTCGAGGTCTTAGAGTCAGGTCAGATGCAGGGGCGCATGCCGACATCTCCTGCTACTCTGGAAGATGAGGCAGGAAGATTGCCTGAGTATAAGACCAGCCTGGGTAACAGTAAGATTTTGTCTCAAAAACATATTTTTTAACTCTACATACACCTGAGAGAGATGCAAAGTCTTTCTGGACATCAGGGTCCTTCCCATAGGATACTGTGCCCTGATCTGACTCCATTTCATTCAAACTAACTTTAAGTATCTGTTTAGGGCTTTGAGATGTTGAACTGTGGTCTAATGATTAATTTTACACCATCAGATATTTTTGTGTCTTTCAAATGGTATCTGTTCACAACCCTAAGACTTGAAGGATGTTCTAGGGAGTAAAGGGGTAGATGACAGACGACAGAATACCTTGCTCTCTTGGGATAGTGACTTTCCTGCTCTCATTTCTGCCCCTGGTGACACACTAAACGAGAGGCTGCACGCCCAAACATTAGGATCCAGAAAGCACTTCAATAAACTTTTTTTTCAGTTCTGGGGATGGAACCCAGGGCCTTACACAGTGGGTAAGATCTTTACCACTGTGCTACACCCAGAGTCTGACTTCTTCAAAATCAATGCATATATTTTCTCTATGGAGAATGAGGCCAAAGAGAATGTTTTATCAACTTCTACTCTGGTTTCTTGTTGTTTGAATTTGTTGTTTTTGGCTTGTTTTTATTTTGTTTGGCCAGTTGGTGGCCAGTCAGCCTTTTCTGGTTGATGGAAACATCATATTTCAGCTAATTGGCTGTTGAAAACAAGAGAAAAAAACCTTTTCCAGCCCTGAGCACAATGCAGCTTGTGAATTTCCAGGCAGTGCCTTTGATTGAAAACAATGTCTGCTGCTTTTGAAGCATATTATTCCTGGCATCATAAGAAGTCATCTGGTTCCTTATTTACCATTTGCATACTGCTCTGTAATATTCGATTTTTAAAAGGTAAGGCTATCAGTTATGTTTTGGTAAGCTTTTCATGGCCAGCATGGTTATTGTGCAATACCAAGACATCGATGGCCAACATTTGTAGAGTCAGTAACTTACTCACTAAAGCAATGAGTTTTAGCCTGAAAATTATTGCTGCTCTAGATTAGCAAACAATTTTTAATTAATTTTTTATTAATTAAGAAATTAATTAAAATCTCTTATCGACAGTAGGGTATTTAAAATGCTATTTAAAATGCAAATTTTCATTACAACTGTGGCTCTACATGCCTCTTCCTTTCAGAGAAGAGGTGACACGTAATACATTGGACATAGACAGATACAAATATCTTTCATTGTACTGTTGGGTTTTCTTAATTGTAACACTGTATAACCTAAAATGTTTACTTGTGCCTTTGCTTTAAATAATTAAAGTTTCTCATTTTACAAGATTTTATTTCCTTAAATTATTTACTATAAAAGTAAGGGGCACTGGAATCCTATTGATGGACATATGGCCACAGAGAGGATTAGTACTGCTGAGGTCTGGGCCCTTCAATGGGATGTCACGCCCACTCGCTCCACGCACAGAGTACCAAGCAGTCCCCATGCAGTTGGTATCCAGAAGATATTTTCAGTTTCATAGACATCCAAATGTCTAGATTTGTTTCCTTCCAAAATGTGGCATTTAAGCATCGGTGGCATATTTCCATCACAAATATAGCTTAGGTTATTGAAGGCATTATCAGTGAATTCAGTAATACATCAGGTGTGTGTGCTTTAGGTATCACATGGAGGCTTCTTCAGGTTAGTTCAGACTAGGTGCTCTTGTGGCACTCATGAAGAATCACAAGAGGTATCACCCAGGCTCCTCTACCTTGGAACTGTTTGGATTCTGATCTTTGTCACAGGACATCCTACATACTGTAAGATGCTTCAATTGAGGCAGAGTGTTTCCCAGTGTGAAGCAAGGAGGAATCATTTAGTGAAGTTCCTAAGGAATGGGTGCTGTTGACTGGTCGCAAACTTGTCAAGGACCCATGAGAAAGGACAGGACTTCTCCTTCCTCTGTAGTGTGAGGCTCAGAGAAACAGCAAAGTCTTCCTCCAGATCCAAGTGTGGATGTTGGTAGTGTATAGAAAAAATGTCCACCATAGCTTTCTCCCTCTGGGTATTTACAGCCTCAGGTGGTTTCCCTGCAGAGACTGCTCCAACCCAGACTAACTAAGCCTGTTCTCTTGATCCACCTGTGTATCCTAGTCCCTGCCTTCTTTATCTGTATGTAATAACCACACCTTTTTCAGCTGTATGCAACAACTCCACCTCTCAGTTCAACTGTGTATAATAATACACACGCCTCTCAGTTCAGCTGTATATGATACACGAGCCTCCCAGTTTAGCAGTATAAGATACAAGAGCCTCTCAGTTCAGCTGTACACAATACACGTGCCTCTCTGTTCAGCTGTTTATGATACACGTGCCTCTCAGTTCAGCTGTAAATGATGCACGAGCCTCTATGTTCAGCTGTATGCGATACAGGTGCCCCTGAGTTCAGCTGTATAAGATACACGTACCTCTAAGTTCACCTGTATATAATACACGTGCCTCAAAGTTTAGCTGTTTATGATGCACATGACTCTCAGTTCAGCTGTATACAATACACGTGCCACTCAGTTCAGCTGTAAAGGATACACATGCCTCTCAGTTCAGCTGTATACGATACATGTGCCTCTCAGTTGAACTGTATATAAATACACGTGTCTCTCCGATCAGCAGTAAATGATACACGTGCCTCTCCCTTAAGCTGTATGCAATACACGAGCCTCTCAGTTCAGCTGTATAGGATGCACATGCCTCTCAGTTCAGCTGTTTATGATACATGTGCCTCTCCATACAGCTGTATACGATAGATATACTTGCATCTCTGTTCAGCTGTATATGATACACGTGCTCTCAGTTCAGCTGTATACGATA